GAAAATCCCTTTATAGAAAAAAATAAAGGCACATTGACCTACGACCCGACTACCTGCCGTTACCACTGGTATAAACATTTTCACAATAATTCCATGGGGTATCCCTTGGGATCTTTTACATGGGTTTCGAAAGCTACACTGTCCTTTAATGCACCATTATATTACTTTCCGATTATTAATGGTGCTGTCTCGTATGCTTGGTTCCACCCTTTCTACATAAACTATACTCTCTCTCTTCCAATCCGTCAAATCTTTACCTCGGCAGACTCTAATCCTAACCTCCTTTTATATACTAATGATGCTTTTTATTATCGATCTTTGTTATACGCGAAAAGAAAAATTTTCAAAACTAATCGCCGTATAATCCCTATATCCTAAAATGATGATTATCAATCTAAAAAAATAAGCATATTTTATTGAAAAAATCAATAAAATGAAATCATTAAAAAATTGTAATAGCAAGTCAATATATTTAATTCGATAAATAATTCGTCGAGTTCACGAGTTCAACTCGACTTTCGTAGATGGTCGCTTTTAGCTTTCGATGCATATGGTGGATATTTAATAACGAGTTGGTACGAATGGATATACCCTTGTCGTTCTCATATATACATATATACATATATATTTATGTATGTAGATATATAGATATATTTCAGTGAGTCGAAGCCTGCACTACTGCTGTATTTTACGAGGAGATATTTCCAATTTGTCTTCCTGCAGAAAGTGTTGCACCGTCACTGAAACCGGCAAGGAGCATGAGCGAGTGAACGAACGAAGGAAGAAAGAAAGAAGGAGAGAAAGAAAGATAAAAAAAGAAGAAAAAGGAGAAAGAGAGAAAGAGAGAGAGAGAGAGAGAGAGAGAGAGAGAGGGAGAGAGGAGGAAACATGCTCGAGTAATGGTGGAAAATCCGCCGACTGAATTGAAGCTAGACGTCGTGAAATTGAACAACGTACGTAATACATATATTCGCAAGAGTGACGCGCACATGTGAGAACTCTGGCTTTTATGTGCACACGAGTGTGCGACTTTTACATATTCTTACCAATACATGTTATTGAGTATATGAATATATGAATATATACACGTACGAATATGTGTAGGTATATATCAATAATAATTCGTAGTATCCACGAATCCTACCCATTTCGTCCTTAAAAAGAAAACAGGCGGACTTGTATACGGCATGGAAAGATTTCTCGTGAGATCGTTAGGCATTAGATTACTATTGATAGAATACACCCTACAGACTCAATATTATATTTTCTTTTACTTGTATATATATGGTATATATCAATAATCTATGTAAGTATAATATTATTCTATTTTTCTCGCAACTATATGTAATATATAACTATATATGTAAATGTGATTTTCGTTTTCAAAATTGAGTTATTTAATTTTCAAGTTTGTTACAAAATTAGACGAATTTTTCGTTAAAGGGTTCGTTATATCTTTTTAGCATGAGTTTATTTTCTGATCCGCCAGTTGGTTTTTATCCTTTATCATACACTCGAAAGTGGTCGTATCATCGTAGTTAAACAAACAAACGCTTCTTATACGTGAGAGGAAAAGGGGCCGCACTTATCGCGTTAAATATTTGCACCACTTCAGCCATCAGGTAGTCGCAACTAGCTTCTCTCTTCCCTAACGGACAGTTGAGCTCTTTGTAAGGTCCCGAACCTTTCGAAGATACACCTTTCGCTCGATTTGACCCCTTCCTAAGCACGCATGTCGGAACATAAGAGCGATTCCATGTTGATCGTAGAAATTTATTACAGGCCCTAAGCACGCACGTCACGCGTTTCGAACGTGTTAAAATAACGCTTCAACCAGCTGGAATAGGAAAAATCCCGTAAAATGCATACGATTACGTTGAGAGCATATTCAATGTGCTAACGTAAGAAAGGGTTGAATTGGAAATATAAATCAAAAATCTACCCTCCTCTCTATAGCGTTCTTAATCGACCGTACAAATTTTCTCTTATGTATGCCAATATCTATTTTTTTTACAGACGATTTGCGAATTCTCTTTATGAAAGTTTAGATATGTATAGAATAAAAAAAGGAAAAAAATCTCGAAATCCATATGTCCTAACAAATATGTTAAAATTTTTTGTAAAACTGCACAAACTGTCTTGATATTTATCTTGTTTCATTATTTCTGATTATATTTTAGTAGACTTATGTATTAGTATTATATTTAATGACTATCATTCAAGCGAAGGTACGATTTTAACGCACAAGCGTTAAGAGAAACTCGTAATCAACTATCGTCTTTAAAGACGACATAAAATACGCGGCACATGTGGATAGTACTATATACGTAGTAGCCCAATGAAAGCGACACCCTTAATAACCGCGGGTAACCGATGGCTAAAAGCGAGTGGAGAGGGCGGTTAAAGCAACTTGTTGCATAATAACGCTGAAGCAAAAGATAGGACCAACTTAGTCCCGCGTGATCGTTGCGCTTGCGCCTCGAGTGTCACCGTTAATCCCAACCGTTTCATTTAAGTTGCGACCACTAATCGACGTCATTCGGATTATTAAAGGAGATCTTTGAAACAACTTTCTTTATATTAGTTTCAAATTTAACTTACATCTCGTTAATTGACATTGAAATTTCAAACATACAAAGTATTAAGAAGAAAAAGAAAAAAAGGAACATTTTCTTAATCTTAATCTCTAGATACTTCTCGTCTTGAATGAGACGTGAGGATAGACGTGTCCTTGGGAATATCCCACAGGATGAGAAAAAGAATGAGAAAAAAAAAGAAGGAAGACGTAAAGCAAAGCAGAACGGAAGAGAATAAGGGAAAAGGAAAGGACGTGGCATGCGATTAGCGTTTGATACCGCGTGCCAACGTCCTGAGGGTCCTAGAGTAGGAGCAGACAAGCAGACAGACGTATAATTTCAGGGATAAGATCTAAAACATTGCCTTAACCTGGCACAGACGGAGAACGAAAATACCGGCGAAAGGGGTTCTTCGTGGCACCATGTGTGGAACGGGCTGCCAAGTAAAACGCTTACTTACGAAAAAAGCCTTCTTCTATTCGATATTCTCTAGACTCACAAGTTTATTCGCCATCATATGTATTAGTTCCAACTATTCAACCTTCAATGGACGTTGGATTTTGGTATCTACGTTACTGAATGATACCCTAATCTTTTATTTGACTTTTTTTTGGATAACATCTACATAGGATATATTATACTATATCTTTGTGTCGTAGAACTCGACGATAACTCTTTTGTCCCGGTAACGCGCGTGTTGCGGAAAGTGGGGAAAAAATAAAAAAAAATAAAAATAAAAGAGAGAAAGAAAGAAGAAAGGAAGTCCGTGGAAAGAACGACCTATTGGCGGATCATTAAACACAGATAGGGTCAACCCACTGCATATGTCGCGTCCCTGTACGTCTCTCAAAGCTGGAGTTAGTTAACGTGTATGCAAAGCCGCGCCAGCCAGGTAGAGACTCGCCCTGATTATTTATGTGAGGATCTCGCGTTAGACACCCTTTTTTTCCAGCCCCTTCTTTTATCGTCTATCTCTTTCTCTCTTTCTCTCTCTCTTTCTCTCTCTCTTTCTCTCTCTCTCTCTCTCTCTCTCTCTCTCTCTCTTTCTTTCCTTCTCACTCTCCTGTCTGATCTACGAAAAGGAAAAGGGACAGAAAAACATCGGGGCATACCAACGGCTCTTCCACACGGTTTTTATAGATACTAAAAAATATTATAATCTATGCTTCGCTGGAAGAGAAAAATATAATTCATTATTCGAGCGGATATACAAAGAGAACGACAACGGGGTGCCTCGTAGGGTGAATCCCGCCCGCTCGCCATCCCGTAGCCCGACCAAAAGGTTAGAGCAAACGGAGAAGGGAACCTTCGAGAGATATCCGAACAGACTAAGGATCGGAAAAATTTTCTCAGTCGAGAGACTATATTTCATCTTAACCCTTCTTTTCAAAAGTAAGCGTGAGATCTTTGAAGAAACAACTTGAACATCTTTTATTCTATCTTTATTTTTTTACATGAAAGGAACTCTCAAAAATATCTCGTAACAATTGCGTTATTTATATTCATTTTTGTTATACATGTATATGTCAGTGTTAAATTGTATACTTCAGTTAAATCGTGGTAACCCTAGGTTTTATCCGAAATTACTAACATATACCTTTTTAGGAAAGCATATGAAAAGAATTTTATTATATACTAAAACTCATAATTTTAGGAAATAACGAGATTATAGGTATATGAATTCACAAGAGGCGAGTAGTTTAAGTATAGGTACGTTCAAAGTCGATGGAACAGCATGACTCTGACAGAAAATTTATTTTCAAAGGAAATAGAGAGATAAGAACGAATCTATGAGCAATCATTATTCGCGTTTTATTTTATTTTTATTTTCATAGTTTTCGAAGGAAATTTAATTTAATCCCTTAAATCAGTGGAAAAACTCTATCTAGAGATTTTAGTTTTTTTATTTAGAGTTTTAATTTTTGTTGGTGTGTATAACTTATTATTATTTTACTATTTTTATTATTTAT